ATGTGGCTCCTATTTTTCGACATAGATAAAAGCAGCGCTTATTGATTGATTTATTGATTTCCACAATTTTGGTGCTGATGACTGACTTGATTATTCATTCCATCTACATGTCTAACTCTGCCTGGGGTCTCATCAACTGCTTATCTGAGCCACCAGCTCCTACGTTTATTTAAGCTGCTTGCATTCAGTCATCAGCTCAAGGTTATTCTTCATCTCTCCAGCCTGTGGTGAGTGTTTTAGCGTACCTTAGTGTTTCTGATTACCTGATCCTGTTCTGCCTCTCAACCACTCAGCCTACCTGTTGCTGTTCTGATCTGTTTGCCTGACCTGTCTTCGGACTCCTGCATGTTCTCCCAGGCTGCAGCATCTGGGACACTCTGGGCGGCATTCGCAGTATCTTGCTATGCTACGGGTGCAGCATTTTTTTTAAAAGTGCAGCCTATATAGTAAAATGTATATAAATGTACATATAAAAACAGTAATATAAACATATGACTGTAAATTTACTGTTCTAACATTATGTTTTTCTTAACTAACCTATGTTTCCTTTCTGCAGAGTTTCCTGTGATAGACACCAAAGATACTGTTACTCCAATCCTCCGGGATTAAATAAACACTTTTGAATAATTCCATTGTCTGTCTTGCCTCGAATATTGGGTCTTTCGGTTCATTTTGACAGTTTTTTCTTTTGTTTTTTTAATGATGGGAGGAGCCCAAAGTATCCAAAGTGAAATCAAACCCATATCATTGTTCTTGGATACTAATCTTAGAGTAGTAGTAGTCTGCAAGATATTTTTGAGGGCAAAAAAAAAATCCTTATCAGCTAGGAGATCTAAAAAAAAAAAAAAAAACTAATAGTTTTTAGTATACTCAAAATACCATGCATTCTAAATGTTGTTTTTTAAGGGTGTGAATTAGCATACTGCATTAGTGTGGCTTTTTCTTAAATGGTTAATTGTCCAGGAGGTATGGTACAGTCTGTGTATATCAGGGAAATGCAGACACATGAGAAAGCAAATATGCAGAAGGCCTCTAACATCAAAGTGCATAACAAATTAGGTCTTAAATCTCTGTATTTTTGCAGCTCTGAAGGACTGAAAAATAGAGATTACCTTATGACATCTAAAAAAACATATTTCAAAAATAATAATGATTGAATTAAAACCCAATAAATAACACTGAGCTAAGGTCCTTAGATCATCATTCTCCAAAGTGAAACTATGTACCACCACATTAAAGAGGAAATAATAAAATCAATAAATCATTCCTTAAGAATCCATTTTTATGTTAGTGTGAAAAGTTGATGACAGTTGAATTATCCTATACAGTTTGGCACATGTCCACGTAACAGCCCTGTGTTTTGGAACAATGGTGCTTTTGATCTACCTAGGAGCTTGAATAGGTTCGTAGTGATGTTATCTCTGAGGTTCTAGTTTCCCACATTAATTCATAGCAGTTATGGCCACTTTTAACCGTGCCAAGATAATGCTTCTGCTGGCATTTATTAACAAGCCAGCATAGACTTTCAGTTTAGGCATTTTATTTATTAATTCCTATCAAATTCTCCCTCCCTCTCACTTGTCTTGACTAGACCCCCATTTTACCCCCTCTACTCATTCTGGAACTCTTCAAGCCTCATGCTGCAAAAGATAAATGATAATAGATGATAGAAAGCAGCAAGTTACAAAAAGGCTGCAAAAGCATACAGGTTCTGCAAACACAAAAAATATTCCAAAGACTGAAATGATGCTGACACACATACACATTTAACAGATGCAAAGGAAAAATGCTGCAAGTAACTGGATGAGCTACAAACCAGCTCTGGTTAACAAGTGCTCTGGCCCATTACGGGGTTTATTAACTCAAATGGGACCAGAACGAAGACTTCAATACCAATTAATGCCTATAATGAACCAGAACCAGACCCTTAGCAAAATCACAAATGAGATGCCAACCCACAGATTGTCCTTTCATATTTTAGAAGTGAATCTGAATAGATTGATTTGTGTGGTGTGAAAATACACTTAATGCTCAGAAACTTTGTTTTCTTAGAGCATTGTGGACAAGCTGATAAAAGCAAAGCCTCCCAGTCTTAACGTTTGTAAGTTAAATCTATGAATTAAATGAAAGTACACCTTGAGAAGTGTCTAAAGGTAACAAATGGCTTCCTTTTGTGAAACACAGAAAAAGGGAAGAAATCAGCAGGAAGAGAAAAGTGAACCTCCAATAGTATAGTCTGGAGATGATATACCTCCAGGAGTCAGGGTCCACTGAACCTACTTGTTCTGGCAGGTTGGGGGTGAGAGGCATCTCTGTGGAGTGCTGGCAAACTCTCCGGTGGAGCAGGTTGGCTGAGGTTTCCCTGGTGGGTTTAGTCAGCCGTGGATGGTGGGATTACACTCTGATCTCTGTCTGGCATACGGTAGTGAGTTGATTAACAGAGTTCCAGGGTTAAAAAGCTCCAGTTCATCTGACTGACTTTAGTGGGATTAACCATTATCTCCTCACTGCAATAGGGTTAAAAGTGAGAATCAGAAGTGGATAAGAAACTCTGGGCTACATCAGGTGAATGCTTGATATTCAGCAGAAATGTTTCACTCTAGTGAAGTTAAACCTCTTGTCACTTCTGCTTTGGTTCAGGGAGGTTTACAATGTTAATGTTAAGCTGCTCTATGCTCCCATCATATAATTTCAATTTGATTTGAGTCCAGACTTTAACTGGGCCACTGCACTTCTTTTATTCTTTTCTTTTTCAGCCCATCTGTGCTGTTCTGTTTGGGATCATATGTCCATCAATGACCCACTTTTAGCCAAGCAGGTTTTGGACATACAGCCCCTTGAGTCCAGATTTATTTATCATACACAGAAATCATGATCTCACTACTCTGTTCCTGCAAGGTGCTCAGGTACTTTTCATGCCTGAAACAGAGGTTTGGTGAGAAAGGATCAAACATTCAATTCAAATTAAATTTAGATATACTTTATTAAACAGAATGGGAAATTAAACATTTAACAATAACATATCTAAAAGGCTAATGAATGTACACTTTCTTTGATACAGTTACCTTTGGTGGGGAATAGTTTATCATAAAAGTTTAATTAAACAGCCAAAAAGCCTAAACAGCATTGTGTGTCAGAAACACTGAACTTCCTGACACAGGGTGAATTAGTATTACTCACGAGTATGTACGGAAGCTCTTTAGAGGAGAGAGCTTAAGTGTGAGAACATTTTCACTATGGAAAACTCTCCAAGTCAGAGACGGAGATGAATATTGACTTCAGACGTTTCTGTAGCTAACTGTCCTGATTCTGCCTTGGCACAAAAAAACAACAAAAATGATCAAAGTAGCTTTAGAATAGCTCTGAGGTTCTAAAGCTTGGCAAGCACTGTGTAAGGCAACCTGCAGGGTCCAAAACCTTTGATATGGTGATTAACATTTGTCCATTACGATTGAGGCAACTGCTTTATTCACAACTGAACCGCAGCGCGTTGTATTTGCCAAACCACTAAAAATGTGCCTCTACAAATATCCTGCAATGACAAAAAGTTTCTGCTACCTGAAAAGGCTTTAAAAACTTTTTGGTTGTAAAGGAAAAAACAAAAAATGAACAGACAATAAAAGATGCACAAAGAAGCAAGTAAAGATGGAGGTTTTTAGCTTTAAATAACTTTATTTAACTTCTGTATTCTCACTTCACAGTAAGGACATTTCTTCTGTTTCTTTCTTCTATTTGCCCCTCCAGTGCAAAGTCTCTGCTCTCTGTCTTCAGTCCTAGTTGCTTAAACAGTGTGCTTCATGGCTACAGGAAGTGGGGGTGCTGTGGCAACCCCGTAGTGGGAGTAATGAAGATTCCTGCTCGAAGTAGCAGACTAGTACATATACATAGTCTAATGACAGAAACGAGGAGGAAATATGGCACAAAAACGCATTTAGTATTCGTCCTCTCATGAGAGACTTTATTTACATGACCCCAGAGCGCACCTTTACATTTGGACACCTGTAACCAGGAACCCTGCCTGTAGCTCAAAGAGCATGGTGCCGCCGTGCACTTTTACACCTGTTCATGCAGTTTAATTTAACCATAATATTTTAGACTGTTATTTTAATCTTGGATTCTTTGTGTTAATGGAGAACTATTCAATAAATAATCATTTACCTTTATTGATCTGAGAGAGGAGAAATTTACCTCTGCATTTAACCCATCCCCTCGGGGAGCAATGGGCTGCTGTCATGGGGGAGCAATTGGGGATTAAGGGTCTTGTTGAGAGACCAAGAGTGGCAGTCTTTGGGAGTGGGTTTAAAAATCACTACCTTAGAATTCCAAGTCCTATGCCCTAACCACCAGGCTGCCATTTCCCAGTCGCCACTCCCAATAACATTTAAATAGTATAATCATATAATTATTTCCTTTTGGTTTGAATAAAAGTATTTTGGAGTTAATAGAGTCATGTTTGGCATAAACACAGTGAGTCAGGTTTATGCCAGCTGACCAAATCTACTTTGTTAAGTGTTATTCTGAAGTTTAAGTGGTAGAGAATATATTCACCTGAGAAATGATGATGTCTGTGCGTTCCATACCCTGCTGGTGTGCACTGAACTGTATATGACAATAGAGTAGTGAATATGTATCTATTTACTTATTTATTTTTATTGTATCTTAAATGGGCATATAGGCTCATGGGTCTATTGTCCCAAAAAAACAAACAGAAAACAATTTTTATATCACCACATGTCCAAAATTACTTCCAGCGGCACTGGTGTGCTTTCTCTGCCCTATCTAATTGGCATTCTAAAAGGCAGGAAAGCAAATGTGATTCCTAATAAGCAAATTATTACTAGCATTCATCAGCGATTCCAAATTCATATTTGCATATTTATTTCTAACTAAAGCACAGGATCCGTAAGACTATTCATCACGGTTAAACAATGCTATTGAATTACTCTGTGATGGCAGTAAAGATATTAAAGACATCAATCTCTGGTTTTCCTTCTGTGCAGAGCCTTCCCACATGGGAGACAGAGAACAAGATTTACTGTCAGCAGACTCTGGTGGACGGAGATGGTCCTAAAACGTACTGGACCCGAGAGCTGAAAGGGGATGAACTGATACTGGTGAGCATCCAGCAGTGAGTTTGGTACCTAATAGAAAATCTTTTATTTAGACATGAAATTGTTTAAGATTCTTATTAAGAACATCTTTGGGGAAAATACCAAATTATCTGTGTATTTACTAGGTTTTCACTACTTCTAAGCACGTAATTAAGTGATAAATACAAACTGATTTTTGGAAAATGGATCACCAGATCTAATTAGTCTCATTTAGAATCAGAAAAGGCGAAATAAAATTGTACCGCTAGATTTACTAATGTTATTATAAGATCCCTGAATATGTGCACCTGAGTTCTTTAGATGAGGAAGAGCAGCTCCTCTGCTCAAAGCTCTCCCTTATTGACACAGCTTCTCTGCTCATCTCTAACATGTAGCAACGTCTGTTCCAGTCAGATCTTTTGATCTTGGTTTCTAGGAACTTATTTGTTCCTAGAAACCAAGGTTCAAATAAGAGCCTGTTAATTTCTCCAAGAGTTCAGTCACCAAAAGCCCAAGCATTGCCTGCTAGTGATCAAAACATGCCTCCTTGTGGTTCTGGCTGCCCTAAGTCCACAAAAGTATGAGAACTCTTCATCTAGTTTAATCTGGAAGATACTGAGGTCAAGCGCCATGCATGAGGGGGCATGTGTGGTTGCTGCTTCTTCTACTTCTACTTTTACAATGCTTTGCATCACTTAAATTGGAAAAGAATAACTGCCAGTACTTATTTAATGGCATACAAATATACAACAGAAACATGAGTTATATATTTATACAGACCTATCTTTTGATCTCATAAACAACAAGAAAACAAAGCCAGTTCTAAATCAAATCTATATGAGACAATTGAGTGTCAGGAAGCCACTTTTATTCACTATAACCCGTATGGTGTTAATATTGAAATAGAAAATGAAATAAAATAAATTAAAGGTACAGTGTCTAGTAATTGATGTGGTTTAATGATAGAAATGTAATAAATTATCTAAATCTATGTCATTTATTATGGGCTGAAAGTCTCAATGTTTATGTTTGTCTTGCCTTAAAAAGTGCTTTTCATAATTGAATAAGAGTTGGCTCCTATTAGCGGAGACAGTCATGTGGAGCTGACAAACTAGTGACTATAGAGATCGCAAATATGCTCGTGGCAAGTTAGGTCTATATACAATCCTACATTGACTAATAAAATACTCATTACAAAATCATCAAAAAATAAGAACTTTATTGATTTCACATTGAGAAGTGTATATCTACATTTAACCCATTCCCTTGGGGAGTAGTGGTCTGCCATAACGGGGCGCCCGGGGAGCAGTGTGGGGTTAAGGGTCTTATTCAGAGACCCAGAATGACAACCTGTGGGTGTGGGGCTTGAACTCAGAACCTCAGGATTCCAAGCATTATGCCCTAACCACCAGGCCACCACTCCCAACGTGGCCGCACTCCCAAATCTAAGCAAACTACACAGATTTTTTGTCATTTTGTACACACAAGTGTAAACAAAAAGAAATTTTGTTAAGTACAGCTCTGTAGACTATTTAATTTTTTAAAGTGCAAGTAAGCAGCAGTGATAAAAAAAAGTGATGTAAACAAATTCTGGATTCTGCTGGACCTGCATCCAATGCTTCAAAGTCTCTGTCCAAAGGGCAGCAGGGAGAGCAGTCCATGTTGGGGTTGTGAGGGCTCATTTACGATGTTACTGGCTCGGGACAGGCAGCGCTGGGATGAAATGTCTTTAATGGAGGGAAGAGGATCCCTGATGATCCTCTCTGCTGTTCTCACCTTCTTCCAGTCTGACGCGCTGCAGCCTCCACACCTCACAGTGAGACAACAGGTCAGAACGCTCTCTATGGTGCTTCTGTAGAAGGTGGGGGGGATGGGTGGGGGCAGGTGGGCTCTTCTCATTCTCTGCAACAAGTAAAGGTGCTATTGTATCCTTTTGATCAGTGAGGTAGTGTTTACATTCCAGTTGAGGAATGTTTATAGTCCACGTGAGGGTGTCTGTGATGTGCACCCACAGGAATTTGGTGCTGCTGACCACCTCTACAGCTGAGCTGTTGATGAGCAGTGGAGCGTGGTTAGGACAGTTCTTCCTGAAGTCAACAATGATCTCCTTGGTCTTCTCCATGTTCAGGATCAGGCTGTTATCTTTGCACCAGTCTACCAGCTGCTCCACCTCCTCTCTGTAGATCTGGTCGGTTTTGTCACTGATGAGGCCCACCACCATGGTGTCGTCTGCAAACTTCACGATGTGATTGGTGGTGAACCTGGGGACGCACTCATGTGTCATGAGGGTGAACAACAGGGGGCTCAGGATGCAGCCCTTAGGGGTGCTTTGGATAATGACATAAGAGGTGTTCTGTCTGACCCGGACTGACTGAGGTCTGTTGGTGAGGAAGTCTAGCAGCCAATAGCAGAGGGGTGTATTGAAGCCCAGCTGTTTAAGTTTGCCCATCAGATGCTGTGGGATGATGGTGTTGAAAGCTGAACTGAAGTCCAGGAACAGCATCCGCACTTGGATGTTCTCCTGTGTGCCAGGCTCAGGTGGAGAGCAGCAGAGATGGCGTCCTCTGTGGAGTGGTTGCGTTGGTAGGCAAACTGGAATGGGGTCAAATGTTGGCGGCAGACTGGAGACGATGTTTTCTTTAACCAGCCTTTGGAAGCACTTCATCATGATGGGAGTCAGAGCGACAGGCCGGTAATCATTGAGTTAGGTGACCTGAGGCTTCTTTGGGACTGGAATAATGATGGCAGACATGAAGCATGCTGGCACTATGGATTGGTCCAGCCAGGTGTTAAAGATGTCTGTGAGGACACCAGCCAGCTGATCTGCACATTCCTTGTACACCCGCCCAGGTATGTTATCAGGCCCTGGGGCCTTCCTTGGATTGACTCTTCTCAGGTTTAGTGTTTCCTCCCCCTGGTGTGGAACAGCTTTCACTGCTGGAGGCTGTTTGTGCCTCAATTGTTCGAAAGAAGATGTTCAGTGTATTTAGGAAGTCAGTGGTTGCTACATCTACCGGGGGGGAGGGTGTGTTGTAGTCTGTGATCATCCAAATGCCTTTCCAAATCCTCCTGGTGTTGCTGTCATCATGGAAAGATCCTGGATCTTCTGGCTGTGGTTCTACTTTGCTGATCTGATGGCACGGTTTAAGTTGGCACCAGCTGTTCTCAGTAGCTCTTTATCACCTGACTTCAAAGCTGAGTTCCATGCTTTTAGCATTTTCCGAACCCCTCCATTCATCCATGGTGGGTGGTTGGCTCAGGTGGTGATGTTCTTTTTGATGCTGACGTCCTAAATGCATTTTTTTATGAAGGCTGACACAGTCATGGCATATTCATCTATATTAAATAAGTTGTCATATGTTGCGGCAGCATAGAAGATGTTCCAGTCAGAGCATTCAAAATAGTCTTGGAGTTTCTCCATGCCGCTCTCTGACCACCCTGACCCCTTTAACTTTCGGTTTAACCCTGATCAGCTGGGGCTTATATGCAGGGATAAGCATGACCGAAAGATGATATGGTGTCCCGAGGTGGGGGCGGGGGGCCTACTCTGAATGCATTTTTTTAATGTTGGAGTAAACCAAGAGTAAATCAGTTGGGTTTCCTATATGGGAGATCTTCTACTGATAACATAAGAAGACTGATGCACCTCATGTGGTTCCAAACTCAGGAAGCAGATTTCTCATCTCCATCAGAAACCGCACATATGCTGGATGCTGATGGGGATTTTTTAAATATGTCATATTAAATTAAGCGTTCATTTCTGCCTGTTTTGCTCCAAGGAATTTAATGATAATATCGCACATTCTCTCCTCGAACTCAGAGGGTAAGTCGGAGCGCAGCAAGACGGGAGGAACAGCGGAGGCTGTAGGCTTTGCTTTGTGCAGGAGGTCCTGAGCGCTGGGGGGCGGAGTGTTGATAGAGGATGTGGGACTTTGGGATAACAGGAACAAGTGACGTTTAGACACTGTCCTCAGACAACATGAGGTAATTTATAAATGTTTTAAATCAGGTTGGGTCCGGATTAGCCAGCAGGTGGATCTGGATCCGGACTGCGCTCCGCTAATGCGTGACCTCTGCCTTATAGGGTCCCCACCAACTTTCATTACAAACTTACACCCTTGGCTCTACAGGATGCTATACAGACTTTTTTAGAATAGCATTAATAAATATTAATGTCTCATTAACAGCTCAGCTGTAGAGGAGGTCAGCAGCACCAAATTCCTGTGGGTGCACATCACAGACACCCTCACCTGGACTGTAAACACCACCTCACTGATTAAAAGGGCACCAAAGCGCATGTACTTCTTGCGGAGGATGAGAAGAGCCCACCTGCCCCTACGTTTCCTGCCCAGCTTCTACGGAAGCACCATAGAGAGCGTTCTGACCAGCTGTCTCGCTGTGTGGTGTGGAGGCTGCAGCGCCTCAGACTGGAAGAATGTGAGGAGAGTCGTGAGAACAGCAGAGAAGATCATCAGTGCTCCTCTTCCCTCCATAAAAGACATTTCATCCCAGAGCTGTGTGTCCCAAGGCTGTAACATCATCAATGACCCCTCACACCCCCACCATGGACTGTTCTCCCTGCTGCCCTCTGGGAAGAGACTTTAAAGCATTGGATGCAGGTCCAGCAGATTCCACAACAGTTTATTCCCCACTGACATTAGACTGCTGAATGTTTTGTAGAATAGGTTATTAGTATTGAATTTTATTATTATATTTATTATATTTAATCATTATGTATATATATATATTATATATATATTATTTAATATGTATTTTTGTTTTACACTTGTGTAAACAAAATGACAAATAAAATCTGTCTAAAGTCTAAAGTCTCTAAGTTTACATGCTGATAAATCAAACTACCAGATGTTTGAGCAGCTTAGAGGCATACAGGATGAAGAGGGGGGAATACTTTATTTAATGTTGGGAGTTTGAGATTCTTTATTTTCCTCACTGACGGATGAGAGGGCAGAAAGTCAGAATTCCTCTGTGATGGGTGGGTGATAAAAGCAGAATGGAGTTAA